AAAAAAAAAAAAGGTTAAAAAAGAAAAAGAAAGAAAGAAAGAAAATGTGATGCTGAGTGAAAGAAGCCAGACTTGAAAGTCACATGGTGTCTGATTCCGTTCATATGCAAAAGACCCTACACTGTATGGTTCCCATGACTAGGGCAATTGGGGAGGTGGGGAGTGACTGCTAAAAGGCACATGTTTTCTTTTGAGGGATGAAGGAAATGTTCTAATATCGATAGTGGTGATGGCTGCACAATTCTGTGAATATACTAAAAGCCAGTGAATTATAATTTTTTGTTTTGAGACAGAGTCTCGCTCTGTCGCCCAGGCTGGAGTATAATGGTGTGATCTCCACTCACTGCAACCTCTGCCTCCCAGGTTCAAGCAATTCTCCTGCGTCAGCCTCCCATGAAGCTGTGATTACGGGCATGCACCACCATGCCTGGCTAATTTTTGTATTTTTAGTAGAGATAGGGTTTCACCATGTTGGCCAGGCTGGTCTCAAACTCCTGGCCTCAAGGAATCCGCCCGCCTCAGCCTCCCAAAGTGCTGGGATTACAGACGTGAGCCACCATGCCTAGCCATAAGGGCCAGTGAATTGTATATTTTAAGTGAGAGAATTGTATATGAATTATAACTCAATAGAGCTGTTTAAGATCTAAAAAGTTAAAAAGTGAAACAAAACAAAAATGAATGCTGTGGCTTCTTACTTGAACAAAGTCCGCAGGTTGACCACTCGGCAGACTCGCTCGGCAATTTCCCAGGCGATGCGCTCCATGAGCGGAATCATCCTCTCGTCTCTGTTGTAGTGTCGGGAGATGATCCACACCATCCGCAGGGCACTCATCATGGAGGGGATGGTATCCAGGACCACGTTGAAGCCAGACCCGTGCGTTATGTTCTGACCAAGAGAGGAGAGAGCCACGAAAGAGCCTTTAGCCTTGGGGTCCAAATAGTTTCATAAAACAGTAAGCGGGCAAGAAGTTTCACTCTTTTTTTTCGAGACCAACTCTATTGCCCAGGCTGGAGTATAATGGCACAATCATGGCTTACTGCAGCCTCAACCCCACTCCAGACTCAAGTGATCCTCCCACCTCAGCCTCTCAAGTAAGCTGAGAATACAGGCATGTACCACTATGCCTGGCTAATTTTTTATTTTCATTTTTGTAAAGATGGGGTCACACTATGTTGCCCAGGTGGGCAGACTTTTTTTAATCTCTTATAAATTACTACTAACTCAAATAGATAATGGGCAAAAGATTAAAATAGACATTTCACCGACAATATGAAATTGACAGTAAGCACATTAAGTACGTAAAAAGTTGTTCAGTCTCACTAGTTATTAAAGAAATGGAAATTAAACCACAATGGCTATTGTCAGAAAGACAGAATAACAAGAGATGGAGAGGATACGGAAAAACTGGAACCTTGAGAATGTAAAATGGTACAGCCGCTTTGAAAAACAGTCTAGAAGTTCCTCAAAAGATTAAACAGTTACCCTATGACCCAGCTATTCCACTCACGTGATGCATAATACACAATTAAAAACATACATCTGCACAAATCCTTGCACATGAATGTTCGTAGCAGCATTCTTCATAATAGCAAAAATGCAGAAACAACTCAAATGCCCACCAACTGATGAATGGAGAAACGAAATGCGGTCTATCCATGCTGTGGAATATGATTCTGCCATAGAAAGGAATGAAGCACTCACACACTCCCTGCTACTACACAGATGAACCTTGAAAACATGATGCTGAGTGAAAGAGACCAGACACAGGATCAGTCCTGCATGACGGTCCCTAGAGTAGTCAGATCTATAGAGACAGAAAGGAGAACAGAAGTTACCAGGCACTTAGGGTACAGAGGAAGGGGAAGTTAGTGTTTAATGCACACAGAATTCCAGTTTGGAAAGATGAAACTGTTTTGGAAATAGTGTAACGGACACCCAGCATTGTGTATGTATTTAGTGCCAGTAGTGGTTAAAATGATAATATCATGTCCTATCTTTTTTTTTTTTTTTTTTTTTTNTTTTTTGAGATGGAGTCTTGCTCTGTCACCCAGGCTGAAGTGCAATGGTGCGATCTCGGCTCACTGCAACCTCCGCCTCCCAGGTTCAAGGCGATTCTTCTGCCTCAGCCTCCTGAGTAGTTGAGATTACAGGCACCCACCACCACACACAGCTAATTTTTTGTAGTTTTAGTAGAGATAGGGTTTCAATATGTTGGCCAGGCTGGTCTTGAACACCTGACCTCGTGATCCACCTGCCTCGGCCTTCCAAAGTGCTGGGATTACAGGCATGAGCCACCACATCCACCATCATGTCTATTTTATCACAATATTTAAAATACTGCCTATTTTTTTGAGACAGGGTCTTGTTATGTTGCCCAGGCTGTGCAGTAGCACAATCTTGGCTCACTGCAACCCCCACCTCCCAGGCTCAAGCAATCCTTCCACCTCAGCCTCCTGAGTAGCTGGGACTACAGGTGCATACCACCATACCTGGCTAATTTTTGTATTTTTTGGAGAGATAGGATTTCACCATGTTGGCCAGGCTGGTCTTGAACTCCTCAGCTCAAGTGATCTGCCCACCTCAGCCTCCCAAAGTGCTGGGATTACAGGCGTGAGCCACTGCTCCTGGCCAAATGCTGAATATCTTTAAAAGGGAAATTAAATCATATGAAAATTCTTTGACAGAGCTGACTTTGCAAGGCACAGCACACCCAGCGTACCTTGAAATAACGCTCCACGGTGGAGAGAAAGCGCACATTGTCTGAGGCCTCCGTGTGGAATTTGAATAACTCGGTGAACACTGGCTGCAGGTTAGCCACAAGCATGGAGTCGGATTCCCTGATCACATCCAAGACTTTTCTGACTATTGGAAGCTTTGTTTGTTCATACAGCGCACTTAAGGTTGCACTTCTTTCCCTCCAGAATTCAATTTCAGCCAGAGGACCTTTACCCTGAGAGGTGACATGAATACAGAAAGAATGCTCATCGTTGATGTGGAGCGGGCACTTATGGTGGCTTCTCCAGCATCCATTCCTTTCTGTCTCACTGCTCCAATCCTTCAGGGTCTTCAGGGGTGGGCTCTTGACCCAGGGTGGTCCAATCAGAGTGAATCTCAGGGCTCCAGCTGGGAATGCGAGAAACACACTCTACCTTTCTCTGGACAATATGATGTGCAGATGTGAGGCCAGAAACTGCTGCAAGGAAGCCAGCCTGAGGAAGGCAGCTCCCCAGTCCCTAGAGAAGAGGCTGGAACTGAGAGATTCAGAAAGAAACATAGCCAGAGCCCTGATCAAACTGGACCTGAAGCTAAATCTGCCTCTGGACTTTTCCATTATGTGAGCCAAGGAATTTGCTTTCTTATTTGATCAAACTGAGCTGGGTTTCCTGTTTTTGACAGCCCAAGCTTCCTGACTGATCTAAAGTGTTATCTTTATCGATCCAGGCAGTAACCTGGTAGCACATTAACGTCAAAAAGCCCAGAAATGATATTTTGGGTGTGTTTACTTTGATGGCTTAAGGAAGTAATAAAACAGTAAGAAAAGATGCCAGATGATGCAGACCCCAGATTCCTGGCTCTTTCCCAGCATGGTAAGTGTGACCTGGATCGGGGCTCTGGGAAAGGTCTGCACAAACTACCTGAGGGGTCTTCTTTAATTGGGCCTCAACCGCTGTGGATATCTGATTCAGCCAGTTTATCACACACTGCTCCAAGATTTCAACGGTTTCCGGGTCCGCTGCCAGGTCGGACACCTCTCCCTCTACACTGATAGTCGGCATTTCTAACTTGATCTCACCTAGGAAAAGAAAAGCAATCAGTCAGTCAGTCGTTCAGGAAAAGTGACTACAAACAAAAACATTCAAGTTCACCGGCTGGGCCTTCTCTCAATCTTCATCAGTATAATCAGGTCTGGTACATCCCCTGTCCTGAGAATATCTATAGCTCATTCTCCTTCATTAGAATTTAATTCAAACATTCTAGATAATTGTTCCAGTGTTAAGCTTAATCAAAATGATTTGGTTATTTAAGATGTTCCTGAGTTTACAACCTAGTGACTTCAATTTTTTAAAACTTGAACAAAGAACCAGCAGATATTTTAGATAACCACCAGCATGAAACAGTCAAAGGTAAATTGGGGGGAAATGACATCAGAGGAAATTGAGATCATGTAAAGAAAAGAACAGACCAGGCACAATGGCTCACACCTGTAATCCTAGCACTTTGGGAAGTCAAGGCAGGCAGATCACTTGCAGTCAAGAGTTCGAGACCAGCCTGGCCAGTGTGGCAAAACCCCATCTCTACTAAAAATACAAAAATTAGCTGGGCATGGTGGTGTGTGCCTCTAGTCCCAGCTACTTGGGAGGCTAAGGTGGGAGGACTGCCTGAGCCCCAAGAAGGTCAAGACTGCAGTGAGCTGTGTTTGTGCTACTGCACTCCAGCCTGGGTGGCAGAGTGAGACCTTGTCTAAAAGAAGAAAAAGAAAGAAAAGGAGAATAATTTCCAAAAAGAAAGCCCAACTCTTTGTCTCAGAGATTTGAGACAATATGGCATCCATCAAACAAGAACAGGATGCTATGAAAAAAATACAATCAGAGAATAAGAGGTCTTAAAAATTAAAAATATAATAGCTGATATGACTATCAATCAAAGGTTGGTTATATAGAAGTTGAGAACACTCCAGGAAAGTAGAATCCAAAGATAAAAAGATGAAAAATACAAGAGAAAAGGTAAGAAATAGGATCTCTAGAAATCCATCCAGCAGGAATTTCAGCAAGAAAAAACAAATAGTGGAGGAAAATGTCAAGAGAATTTTTCAGTCTTTGGACTGAAAACACCTACTGTTTAAAACATGAATGGAAAAAGGACCACACAACGGCCCATCCTCCTAACATCAAAACACGTGGGATGACCAGATATTCTTAAAAGCTTACATAAAGGCGGGGGCGGGGGAGAAAAATTAGAAGAACATTCAGTTGCTCATCACTGGATGTTGACTACTAGAAAACAATGAAGAGAAATGTATTCAAAATTCTGTGCTAAGCCAGGCACAGTGGCTCACACCAGTAATCCCAGCACTTTGGGAGGCCAAGGCAGGCAGATCACTTGAAGTCAGAAGTTTAAGACCAGTGTGGCCAACATGGTAAAACCCTGTTTCTACTAAAAATACAAAAATTAGCTGTGTTTGGTGGAACACACCTGTAATCCCAGCTATTCAGGATGCTGAGGCAAGAGAATCCCTTGAACCCGGGAGGCAGAGGTTACAGTGAGCCAAGATCTCACCACTGCACTCCAGCCTGGGCAACAGAGTGAGACCCCATCTCTACACACACAAAAAAGTGTTATAAAAGTTAGGTATGGTGGCACACACTTGTAATCCCAGCTATAATAAATTAATCATTCTTAACTAAAAAGGAGGAAAATGAAATCTTACCTTCCAGTTGCTGCATGGTTCTTTGAATATGACTTGCGAATTTCTGCACATTCATTAAAAATTCATCCCGTATTAATTGAATACTGTGATATTCTGCTGCCTCCCCAGGCAGGGGCTGCGGTTCTGGTTCATGCTCAGAGGAATGAAAGCCTTCTGCAGATATGAGTCCCACAGTTGTACTCATCCGGTGCTGAGTGAAGGATAACGCTGGCAAAAAAACCTGAAATGCCCATTTTAGGAAATAAATCATATGACATCATTTTCAATAATTCATGTTCTTAAATTACCTCTGGTTTTGAATATTCTTGTCTATCGAGTTACAAATGTGCAAAGCAAAAAACCACTCAAACCCAGAGCACAGACCTGAAGACGAGAGTAATTATATTTGACTTAAAGTGATCCAGGGGTACCAATTTTAACCAAGCCTGAGACGACTACCCCGAAAACAGTATTGTGTTTCTGAATACCACCAGTAACCAAGAAGTTACAAACTGTGGCACAGGGGGCCGGCTGCGGTGGCTCACACCTGTAATCCCAGCACTTTGGGAGGCCGAGGCAGGTGGATCACTTGAGGTCAGGAGCTTGAGACCAGCCTGGCCAACATGGTGAAACCCCATCTCTACTAAAAATACAAAAATTAGCCTGGCATGGTGGCACATACCTGTGGTCCAAGCTACTCGGGAGGCTGAGAATAAGAATCATTTGAACCCAGGAGGCAGCGGTTGCAGTGAGCTGAGATTGCACCACTGCACTCCAGCCTGGGCACGAGAGCAAGACCCTGTCAGAAAGAGAAAGAGAGAGGGCAAGGGAGGAAAGAAGGAAAGAAGGAAAGGAGAGAGAAAGGGGGAGGAGGGAGAGAGGGAGGGAGAGAGGGAGGAAGGGAGGGAGGGAGGGAGGGAGCGAGGGAGGGAGCGAGGGAGTGAGGAACTGTGGCATGGCACAGGGAGGTAAGAAACTGCGTGTTAACCCATCAGCTCAAGGCCATCTTGTTCTTGTCAATGAAGTTCTTGAGAACATAGTGTGTTTGAAATGTAGCTAGAGACAGAAGCGTACATTTCTGAAGTCACTTGACTACAATTACAAAACAACTGACCCCCCACCCCACATACAAAGTGATCTATAACAATGCCTGGGGGTTGATTGAGTTGGTTGACTGAATTCTGGTTTCATTTTTTAGTTTTGCCTATACTTCTTAAAATTTTGATGCATCTTTTAAGACTCTTTGAATCTACCTGTATTTCCTGCAACTTATTAAAGAACCTAGAATGCTGGATTTGTAGAGCTGCCCAATTCAAATTTTGCTGACTACACACTCATTCAGCTGAAGCTCCTCTGGGATCTATATTTCCTGCAAATTAGCAGCTGGGACAAGAGAGTTGACCAGAATATGACTGGCGTTTCTTCCATCAGGAGACAATTAATGCTTGGTTTCTAGGTGTTCTCTCTCTCTCTCTCTCTCTCTCTCTCTCTCTCCCCCCCCCCCGCCATCTCCCCCTCCCTCCCTCCTTCTCTGTCTCTCTCTGCCTGCAAAATTGAAGTGTTCTAAAATAGTCTAAACCGTCTGTTTATTAGCTGAGATGCAGATATAAACTGACGCCTCTCAGAGCTCCTACTAGATGATCTTGCACATTTCATATGGGGAAGGCGACATAAACACTTGACTCCTCTTCATTTGCCCAGTTTTCAAAAGAGTACAGTGGTTCCCTATCATCTTCCAGAAGTGACCCACTGGGACGTTTAAAGATCATTATAAACTCATGGATTGGAAGGCTGGGCATGGTGGCTTGTGCCTGTAATCCCAGCACTTTGAGAGGCCAACGCAGGAAAATCTCTTGAGCCCAGGAGTTTGAGACCAGCCGGGGCAGCATAGAGAGACCCTGTCTCTACAATTAAAAAAATAATTAGCCAGGCTTAGTGGTGCACACCTGTAGTTTCAGCTACTCCTGAGGCCGAGATGGGAGGATCGCTTGAACCCGGGTTTGAGTCTGCAGGGAGATGTGACTATGCCACTGTGCTACAGCCTGGGCAACAGAGTAAAAACGTGTCTCACAAAAAACTTCACCAATGCATTGGAATATATATGATATATATATAAAATATATATATAATATATATAACATACATTATATATATTTTATATATATTATATATTATATATATTATATTTTTATATATATTTTATATATATATTATATATATATATAATATATATGATATATATATAGAGAGAGAGAGTATATATATATATATATATATATATGTTTTTTTTTTTTTAGATGGAGTCTCGCTGTGTCATCCAGGCTGGCGTTTAGTGGCACAATCTCAGCTCACTGCAACCTCTGCCTCCCAGGTTCAAGCCGATTCTCCTGCCTCAGCCTCCCAAGTAGCTAGGACTACAGGCGTGCACCACCATTCCCGGCTAGTTTCTGTACTTTTAGTAGAGGTGGGGTTTCACCATATTGGTCAGGCTGGTCTCAAAGTCCTGACCTCAGGTGATCCACCTGCCTCAGCCTCCCAAAGTGCCGGGATTATAGGCGTGGGCTAACACATCCAGCCGTATTTGAATATATTTTGTATGTTTCAATCCACTGCAATTTTATCCTTACTGAAGATCGAAATGTCCCATGTGTGGTTGGCATGAGCCTCTTCAGGTTGAACCCTGTGTCCTTAGACATAACTCTAAGAATTAGACATACAACCACTAATAATTAATTATACATCATGTTTTGATGTTATTTTATGTTTCATTTTCTTAGCGACAGGGTATCGCTCTGTCACCCAGGCTGTAGTGCAGAGGCATGATCAGCAAGCACTGAAACCTTAAACTCCTGGGTCCAAGGGATCCTCCCACCTCAGCCTCCAGAGTACCTGGGACTACAGGCACCCACCACCATGCCCAGCAGACTTTTCTTTTTCTTTTTGATAGAGATGGGGTTGATGTTATTTAAGAATGAAAAGTTCAGTTTGCATACGAAGGTAGCCAACGTGGCCAGGTGTGCTGGTTCATGCCTGCAATCCCAGAATTTTGGGAGGCTGAGGTGGGCAGATCACGTGAGCCCAGGAGTGTGAGGCCAGCCTGGGAAACGTAGTGAGACACTGTCTCTAAAAATAAATACAAAAATCAGCAGGCATTGTGGCGTCCACCTGGCTCATTTTTAGTGCCCCTCCCAGCTACTCAGGAGGCTGGGGTGGGAGGATCGTTTAAGCCAGGGAGGTCAAGGCTGCAGATAACCATACTTGTGCCACTGTACTCCAGCCTGGGTGGCAGAATGAGACCCTGTCTCAAAAATAAATAAATAAGAAAGTAGCCAATGTTCTTGGGTCCGCCAGTGTCACACTAGGAAAAGACATCATCTCGATGAAAGAGAACATCTTTGGGTAGAATGTTCCCATGTGCGGACAGCTCAGTGGGGAGGGTCGCAGGGCCTAACTCACAGGTGACTCGTACTCAGCGAGGCCTCGTCTGCTCCCACCGCCTGGGACTGCTCACGTGGAATCACCCGTGGCCAAGGCCTCCAGCTCCTCTTTGCCCGTGTCTTCCCGACCTCCAGCAGCAGCACGTGGCACAGCGAGCCCCTCCCTTCTTCGATGAAGCATCACCTTCTCTTGGCTTCCGGGTCACCCCTGTCCTAACTTTCCGCTCCCCACCTCTCTTCCATCTCTACTGCCTCTCTTGGTTGTTCCACCGCGTCCCTTGGTTTTACAGCATCTCTGTGCTGATACCGCCCATATTTTAAAGCATCCCTCTGGTTGGCATGTGGAGAATGTAGCGTAGCGGGTAAGTACAGAAACTGGGGGGACTTTTCAGAGGCTACTGCAACAGTCCAAACAAAAGAGGCTGTTGTGGCGGTTTGTACTGTTTCGTCCGAATCTTCTCAGTGACGTCTTCCTGGCCACCCCATCTAACATTGCAAAAGCCCCACCTTTCCCACCCATTGACCTTCCCTAGCCCCCTTGTTGCCTTTTCCTTTCCCATCTGGCTTCATTTTTCTCCCCAACTCTTGTTGCTGTCTGACACACTATGTATTTTCTCATTGATCGTGTTTCATGTACATCTTCCCACCTGGAATGAAAGCTCCACAAGGCAGAGACCTTGTCTCAGTTGTTCACTGCTGTAAAATACAGTAGGTGCTCAATGAATGTTTGCTACATTGATGCCCTGAGTTCCCTGCCGAGTTCCAGACTTACACATCCTCCTTCACACCTTGACTTGGATGTCAAAGAGGCCACCTATGCTCAACAGGCAAAATACAGCACCTGAATTTCCCTCCACATCTGTTTCTCCCCAGCCCCCATCTCAATAATGACCTCACCATCCTCCCAGTTGCTCAGGCCCAAATCCTAAGAGTCATTCTTTTTAAAATAATTTTTAGAGATGGGGTCTTGCTCTACCACCCAGGCTGTTCTCAAACTCCTAGCCTCAAGCGATCCTCCTGCCTCACCCTCCCAAAGTGCTGGGACTAAGAGGGCTTTTTTATACTCTCTCCTTGTGATGCTGTTCAAAGCCTCCAGATCCCAGTCATTAGCAAGTCCCATGGTCTGATCCCCAGGACATTCCAGACACCGCTCCTCCCTCCCTCCCCTGACTGGAGCCTAAATAACAATCGCCCTTGATATGGTTTGGCTGTGTCCCCACCCAAATCTCATCTTGAATTGTAGTTGCCATAATCCCCACTTGTCATGGAAGGGACCTGGTGGGAGGTAATTGAATCATGGGGGCAGTGACCCCCATACCACTGTTCTTGTGATGGTGAGTGAGTTCTCACGCGATCTGATGGTTTTATAAGGGTCTTTTCACTCTTTGCTCACCACTTCTCCTTCCTGCCATCACGTGAAGAAGGATGTGTTTGCTTCCCCTTCCACCATGATTCTTAGTTTCCTGAGGCCTCCGCAGCCATGCAGAACTGTGACTCAATTAACTCTCTTTCCTTTATAAATTGCAGGTCGTTCTTTACAGCGCATGAACGTGGACTAATACAGCCCTCCACCTGGGCTCTTCCAGGGCTTTCTATTTGATCTTTCCTTGCCCTCCACCCCAGCAAAATGCTTTCCCACAATAGCCAGAGGTAAAATGCAAACCAGATCCTTTTGTTCTGCTTAAGCCTGCCTTGGTTTCTAGCCCTCCCTCCAGTCACACTGGCCAGCCTCCTGCTATTGGGTGCTTCTACCTCAGGGCCTTTGCACCTGCGGTTCTCTCTGCCCAGCATGCTCTTCCTCCACATCCTATCGTGTCTGATGCCTTGGCCTCATTTGGGTCTCAGTTAAATATCACCTCCTCCTTCCTTCCCTAGTATATTTCCCTAATAACTTATCATTCTTGAAAAAAGCCTGCTGATGAGTTTTTCATTTTTTTGTTCTATAAAACTCAGGCTCACCATGGTGGCTCATGGTAGCTCATGCCAGCACTTTGGGAGGCCGAGGCAGGCAGATTGCTTGAGCCCGGGAGACCAGCCTGGGCAACATGGTGAGATCCTGTCTCTACAAAAAATACAAAAATGAGCCAGGGATGGTGGTGTATGCCTGTAATCTCAGCCACTCAGGAGGCTGAGACAGGAGGATTGCTTGAGAGCTGAGGCTGCAATGAGCCATGATTGTGCCACTGCACTCCAGACTGGATGGCAGACAGAGACCCTGTCTCAAAAAATAATATACATAAAAAAGAAAGCTCAGACATCACATCCTCGGCAAAGCCCATCCTCACCATGCCCTCTGCACACACATGCAGTGCACATGGCCCATTTCTGCCTCATTATCAGGGTTTATTTTCCTCGTGCCACTTGTCACGCCGGTATCTTCTTGTAGATGTGCTTGTGTGCCATGTCCTTCCCCTGCATACGCTCCTAGGGAGCAGGGCTACTGCCTCTCCTGTCCGCTGCTTGATCCTCGGTGCCCGTGACAGCACCTGCAACAGAAAAGCTGCCCACCACCTACCTGTAGAATAAACAAACCGCATGACCTCAACTTTAGAAATACTAGAATTTCTTCCTTTCTCCACGTTTACCTGACATATAATATCCTTCAGAAAATGGAGCACATCAGCGTTTATAATTCCATATTCCAGTGTTTCCGGCATAATTTCCATAGCTTCCTTCATGTCGGTAGCTTCAGAGATTGCCTCTAAATAAGAACAGATGCAGAATGTAAGGTCAGTAGGAGAAAGCAGCCAACAGTTCACATTTCCAAGAGAACAGGAATTTTTTCCTTCTTCCCAAGTTGCTACAAAAAAATGTCCTGGTTACAGGTTCAGAATACCCCCTATTTGTGTTCGAACAAACTTGGGGGCCCACGAGAAGCTGAAACGGATATCGACGCACTGCGGTTCGTGCATTAGTATGAACAGCACACGAGAGCTGCACGCATTTGCTGATCTGCTTGGAATATCTAAAGCTGGCCAAAACCAGAAAATATTTGGGTTTTCTAGAAATGTTGGCCGGATTCCTTGCTGCTGTGGACTGGGTGACCCCAAAATGCACATGCTGAAGCTTAAATCCCCACGGTGAAGGTATTAGAAGGTGGGGCCGTTGGTAGGTGATTAGGTCATGAGGGTGGAGTCTCACGATGGGATTGGTGTCCCTGTAGGAAGAAACAGGAGAGCTTGCTTTCTCTCTCTCTCTCTACTGTCCACCATGAGAGGATAGGAGAAGGTGCCATCTGTGAACCAGAAATGGCCCTCTCCAGACGCCAGATCTGCCGCGCTTTGGTTTGGACTTCCCAGCCTCCAGAGCTGTGAGACACAGATGTTTGCTGGTGAAGGCCCCCAGCCTATGGAAATGTGTTACAACCATCCAAGCTGGCTGAGGCACAGGTTTTGCCTATCTTCACTCGCCAGCAAGTCTTCCTCAATTCACTGCCAAAGCACCTTTCGAGTCATGGGTTGTTTGAAAAGACCTACTTGGTAACATCTACCCTTACAACAAACAAGGTTTTATTTAATATGTATTTACTTTACCTGACCAAAAAATCAATCGCCATGGTAAATGCTTTAAAGAGGACTTGGACTCTTCCCTTGATCTAACTGGGAAACAAAACACACACAACAAATACACCCACTAAAGCCATTATTTCACAAGTTCAGTCTTCACGCCTTCTCCAAACACGTGCACTGTCACTGGTTGCATGCATTTCTTTATATCTGACACTTCTTTACTGGAAATTAGCTTTAAGAAGACTACATGCAGGCCGGGCACGGTGGCTCACGCCTGTAATCCCAGCACTTTGGGAGGCCGAGGCAGGTGGATCACGAGGTCAAGAGATCGAGACCGTCCTGGCCAACATTGTGAAACCCCATCTCTACTAAAAACACAAAAATTAGCTGGGCCTGGTGGCGTGTGCCTGTAGCCCCAGCTACTTGGGAGGCTGAGGCAGGAGAATTGCTTGAACCCGGCAGGCGGAGGTTGCAGTGAGCCAAGATTGTGCCACTGCACTCCTGCCCGGCACCTGGTGACAGAGTAAGACTCTGTCTCAAAAAAAAAAAAAAAAAAAGAAGAAGACTACATAAAGAACCCTGTATGGAAAAGAAAGAGAGCTTGGCATAAGTGAAGATACCCACAAAAAGACAAACAGAATGAGAGTGAACAAGTGCATGCCAACCACCCCCTCGACACACATACACATACATGGGCCAGAAATGTACCTTTGGTATTTCTGAGAAAAAACAGCACATTTTGGTCCAGGAACTCCTCAGGAAGAGGGGCGCAGAGCATGTGGAGATGCATCTTTTCCACAATGTACTTCACAGTTCTCTGAAACATGGGGAAAAAACATCTTCATTCTTGAGATACATCCCTTCACCTACAGAACCTAATATTCGGGAACGCCTAAGCTCTCCTCTCGACACGGTGGCTGTCTCACGTTCCGACAGTGCAGCCACAGCCACACAGTGGACACCAGTGGACACCAGCTAAACACAGGAGCACAGTGCGCCCAGACTCGGCTCTCGGCCTGACTCCTCTATCGACCAACCGGTGCACCTACACCTAAACAAACTGACCTGGCAAAGGCCCAGATGGACCTCCAATTTCGTTTTGCAGATGGGACATATTTTGGAAGCAATGAGGCATGATTTTGGTAAGCATAGGCCAGGCTGAGTGCTTACATCCCAGCCGGAAACTCCAACCTCGGGATTTTCCTAGTACGGGGCTCACTCGGCAGGGCTGTGTTATCCAAACCCCACGCATCCCGAATGTCTTCAGGACCGGCCTTTGGCTCTTGGGATGACAAGTTCTAAGCTTTAGAATATCCCCCCTAACCCCAAAACCTAAAATGCAATTAAAAAAAAAAAAAAAGAATATCCCCCCTAATATGGGAGTCTGTGTGAGCCTACGGCCTTGAGCTGTGCCTGGAGGTGTCTGCTAACAATGTGATTTTGGTGAATGTCTGTTTTTGTTTCTAGGGTGACGGTGAGGGCTGGAGATGCAGGGGAGCTGAGTAAGTAAGGTCAGCGGCGGGGATGCTCCAGGCCTGTGCGCCTGATCCCCAGTAAAAATCCCGGACACCAAGGCTCAGGTTAGCCTCTGCGGTCGGCAATACTTCATGCATGTTGTCACTCATAGCTACTGGGAGAATTCAGTGCTGGCCATGTAACTTACTGGGAGGAAACAGATGGAAGCTTGTGCCTGTTTTCTGCTGGTCTCCGTCCTGTGCACCTTTTCTTTTTTCTTTCTTTTTTTTTTTTTTTTTTTTTTTTTTTTTTTTTTTTTTTTTTTTTTTTTTTTTTTTTTTTTTTTTGCTGATTCTAATTTGCATCCTTTCCCTGTAATAAACTATAACTATGAATATGATAGACTTTCTGGGTCCTGTGAGTCCTCCTCACCAATCACTGAATCTGAGGGTGGCCTTGGGACTCTATAATCTCGATTCCCTCCCTCGGATGGGCTGTGTCAGTTACCCTGAATCCTAGAGGGTGTCAGGGGTCCCCATTACCCACCAACAAGGACAAACAGCCATGCGTACTTTGGAAGGGAGTTTTTCTGAAATCTCTTTGTCCGTTTCTCCATGCTCTACGCTGATTAGAGGTTGGCCTAGAGATTCGGCTCTCAGTGACATACTCTTAGCTGCAAAACAGCAATCAAAGTGTAAGCGAAAATCATCAGGAAATTAGGTTTCCTATTATTAAGAGCAGGCCTGCATTTTGTGCCTAGCACATTTCATTCAAAAGGTGAGTAATCCATAGCTGTGTATACCTTCTGTCCCAATCAATCCGACTGTCGCCTTGACTCACATTATAATTGACAAGAATTGCGTTTTATTTTTGACAGAGTGTCCGTCAGAAATTTAACATCTTTGTGTCTGTGTTCTCTCAGGTAGTGTCCACCCTGTGACCCTGTGACTTATCTGAGGTTTTTACTTAAAAGGGAGTTTATCATAAAGACAAGAATTACAGGCCAGGCACAGTGACTCACGCCTATAATTTGGGAGGCTGAGGTGGGCAGATCACTCGATGTCAGGAGTTCGAGACCAGCCTGGCCAACACGGCGAAACTCTATTTCTACTAAAAATACAAAAATTAGTAGGGCACGGTAGTGTGTGCCTATAATCCCAGCTACTCAGGAGGCTGAGGCAGGAGAATCACTTGAGGCCAGGAGGTGGAGTTTTCAGTGAGCCAAGATTGCGCCACTGCACTCCAGACTGGACGACAGAGCAAGACTCTGTCTCAAAAAATAATAATAAAAATAATAATAAAAAAAAGCCAGGCACGGTGGCTCATTTCTGTAATCCCAGCACTGTGGGAGGCCGAGATAGGCATATCAGGAGGTCAGGAGTTTGAGACCAGCCTGACCAACATGGCAAAACTCCATCTCTACTAAAAATAGAAAAAAAAATTAGCCAGGCATGGTGGCGCATGCCTGTAATCCCAGCTACTCAGGAGGCTGAGACAGAATTGCTTGAACCCGGGGGGCAGAGATCTCGGCAGAGCTGAGATCAAACCACAGCACTTCAGCCTGGCAACAGACCGAGACTCCATCTCAAAAAAATAATAATAATAAATAAAATAAACAGATAAATAAAAGAAAAAGAAGTACAGCCAGTATGTTAGCATTTACTCTTTTTTCACTATGAGATGCAAAATTTGTGAGGGATGAGAAGAAAAACAGTCTAAATGAAATGAAGTCCTCTCAAGTCCACTGTGATTGCTGCAGATTCAGAAACCTCAGCAGACACCAAGTCTCAGCCCTCGGAACATCCAACAAGCCCGGCACTTAGAGAAGGAAGCTTCCCCTGGGACGCTCAGCTCTTACTTTGAACAGCACTGTGCAAAGTCACTGTGGCTTTGGAATCAACTCAATGTCCGGGGTCTGAGTCCTCTCTGCTATTTTCTCATCCATGAAACAGGATAGTAACATCTACCAGCCAGATTCTAGAGGACTAGCTGACAGCATGGTTAAGAACCTGGCACCATGGTTGGTAGGGGAATAGTCTACAGACAGCAGTATCAACATTATTACAGAACTAGCAATAGACTACAGTAAAAAAAAAAAAAAAAAAAAAAATTGGCCGGGTGCAGTGGCTCACACCTGTAATCCCAGCACTTTGGGAGGCCAAGGCGGGCAGATCACGAGGTCAGGAGTTCAAGACCAGTCTGGTCAACATGGTGAACCCCATCTCTATTTAAAAAAATACAAAAAGTAGCTGGGCATGGTGGCTCATACCTGTAATCCCAGCTACTTGGGAGGCTGAGGTAGGAAAATTGCTTGAACCAGGACCTGGGAGGCAGGGGTTGTAGTGAGCGGAGATCGTGCCACTGCACTCCAGCCTGGGCTACAGAGTGAGACTCCATTTCCAAAAACAAACAAAAAAAAATCACACTTATGAGCAGGTGCCATGCCATAAATAGCCCATAGTCCATTGCTAATTCTCTAACAGCATTAAAGCAGGCTCTAATCTCTACAAAAAATCAAAATGTTATCCAGATGTGGTGGTGCATGCCTATAATGCCAGCTACAGGCTGGAAGATCATTTGGGGCCGGGAGTTTGAAACCAGCCTGGGTAATGTAGTGAGACCTCATCTCTACAAAAAAATTTTAAAAAAAAATTTTTTTTTTTAGATGGATCTCACTATGTCCCAGACTGGAGTGCAGTGGCATGATCTCATCTCACGGCAATCTCCGCCTCCTGTGTTGTTCAAGCAATTCTCCTGCCTCAGCCTCCCAGGTATCTGGGATTACAAGTATGTGCCACCATGCCTGGCTAATTTTTGTATTTTTAGTAGAGACGGGTTTCACCGTGTTGGCTGGGCTAATCTCGAACTCCTGACCTCAAGTGGTTCTCCTGCTTTGGCTTCCCAAAGTGCTGGGATTATAGGCATGAGCCACCACAACCAGCCAAAAAATTAAACTTAAGTTAAAAAAAGACATCCAGGCATGGTAGCACACTCTGTTGACCCAGCTACGTGGAAGGCTGAGGCAGGAGGATCGCTGGAACCCCAGAGTTCAAGGTCACAGGTGGCTATGATCACACTACTGCACTCCAGCCTGGGCAACAGAGCAAGGGCACATCTTTAAAAAGGAAAATACAGTTATGAATGTACTTAATGCCACCTAGAAATGGTAAAAATGGTAAGTTTTCTGTTACATCCATTTTACCACCATAACAAGAAAAGAATAAAATATATAATAATGTTAATTTACCTTCTGGGAAAGGACTTCCCTGACCTTCCCACCTAAACAACCTCTTCCCGCCCAAGTCTTTCCTCTTCATGGATGTATTGGGCTCAAAAGCAGAGTGCCTTCCTAGAAGGCCCTCAGCAGATATTGCTGTGGCATCCAGAACTACCATGTGCCTTATCAAAACCCACTTTAGCCTGGGCACGGTGGCTCACACCTCTAATCCCAGCACGTTGGGAGGCCGAGGAGGGCAGATCACCTGAGGTCTGGAGTTCAAGACCAGCCTGGCCAGCATGGTGAAACCCCGTCTCTACTAAAAATACAATAATTAGCTGAGTGTGGTGGTAGGCACTTGTAATCACAGCAACTTGGGAGGCTGAGTCAGGAGAATCGCTTGAACCTAGGAGGTGGAGGCTGCAGTGAGCCAAGATCATGCCATTGCACTACAGCTTAGGTAACAAGAGCGAGACTCCGTCTCAAAAATAAAAAAGGAGAGAGGACACATAGAGAAGAAAGACACAGAGAGGACAGGGCCATGTGATGATGGATGCAGAGACGGGAGTGATGGTGCTGCAGGCTGAGGACACCCTGACCCCTAGACTGCAGTGGGGAGGCCAGGAAAGATCCTCCCCTTGGTCCTGCAGAGGGAGCACAGCCCTGCCAGCACCTTGATTTTGAACTTCTGGCCTCCAGAGCTGTGAGATAATACATCTGTGTTGTTTTCAGCCACCCAGTCTGTGGTCACTTGTGATGGCAGCCATGAGAAACTACTAAATGCATCTATTCATGACCCAGCAGTTTCCCTTTGTGCTTCATATCCAGTGAAAGTAGAAATTGATTCTGGCTTGGCAGGCAGCACCCGATGGGCGGGGGGCGGTTCTCAGTTCTACCCACCCACAACCCACAACCCCTCCCAACTCCACACCTCGAGCTTTATCCATGTACTCCACTTTTTGAGAATAAATTTCTTCCTCCTCGTCTTCTTCTTCAGACAGGGCAGGTATCTCATTATCTTTATGGTCACATAAATGGGAAGAAAATACAAAACGTAATTGTTTGCTGCATGAAACACCTGATATCTTTGCTTTCTGTGGAGCCAAGGGGTGGCGATGTGGCCCACGGGAGACCTGCATATGTTACAGTGGCACAGCAGTATCCCTTACTAGAGCCAGCTTTCAGTGACTGCCAGGAAGGTTTGTGAAAATTTTGCCAAGAGACGAAGGATACAGAAATGATCACAGAGTTACCACTAGCCCAGAAGAAATGTAAATGACCAAGAAGCATAAAAAAGAGGCTCCTGAGGCGGGTGCGGTGGCTCACGCCTGTAACCCCGGCACTTTGGGAGGCCAAGGCAGGCTGATCACAAGATCAGGAGTTCAAGACCAGCCTGACCAACATGGTAAAACCCCATCTCTACTAAAAATACAAAAATTAGTCGGATGTGGTGACACGCGCCTATAGTCCCAGCTACTCGGAGGGCTGAGGCAGGAGAATAGCTTGAACCTGGGAAGTGGAGGCTGCAGTGAGCCGAGATTGCATCACTGCACTCTAGCCTGGGCAACGAGAGCAAGACTTTGCCTAAAAAAAAAGGCTCCTGGCTGCACCAGGAATGTATTTAACACCATAAACTGTACACTTCAAGATGGTTAAGATGATAACATGCAGGTCATGTGTAAGTTACAATTTAAAAACTGAAGGAGGCCAGATCACACCACTGCACTCCAACCTGGGCGACAGAGAGGCTCTGTCTCAAAAAGAAAAAGAAAAAACTGAAGGGGAAAAAAAAGAGGCTCAACTCTACTAACGTTTACGTAAATTAGTGTAGGGAAGTGCATCTACTTTTCTTCTGTGGAACTGGCAAAAATCTACAAAATGGCCAATATCCAATGCCAGGGAGGACACTGGGAAACAGGCACCTCATCCGCCATCGCTGGCTGTGGACCAGCAGGGCCTCCCTGGAGGGCAGTTCGGCAGGACCCACTCAACCGTAAATGACCACACGTGTTACAGGTGCGGTTTCATCGTTACAAATCTATCCTCCAGAAATACACAAAGTGTGCGATGGACATTGTTCCATTGTTTGTAGAATGAATCCTCTGAAAAGCTAAGTGTCCATGAATGAAAGAATGGATGAGCAGAATACGGTATATGTATGTATTTAAAAATCTATCAAGTTAGATTTTAGGTAGAACTGTAGGTATTTACATGAAAAAATATCCAAGACGCGGTGGAGGGAGAAGTCACAAGACAATATGTATAGTATGATTTTTATTTATAGTTTTAGGAACCCTATATATCCACATTTTATCATTATAGAGAGAAATGAAGATATAGATTGTAGATAGAACAAGGATAGACAGATACAGATGACAAGTAGGCAGGTAGGTAGATTGATTAACTGATCTCAACAGCCCTGACCTTATGCATAGATAGATAAATTAATTGATATAAAGAGATGGATGGATAGATGATGGGTGAATGACAGGTAGACAGACACATAGACAGACTGGTCAGTTGGTAGACAGATAATAGAGAGAGAGAGGCAGACGTATAGGTAGGCAGGTAGATTAACTGGTAGAAAACTGATAGAGACAGACAGATAGATAGATGATAGGTGAATGACAGGTAGCTAGACACGCAGATTGGTCAGTTGGCAGATAATAGAGAGAAAGATGTATAGGTAGGTAGGTAGATAGATAGATGTATAGGAAGGTAGGTAAACAGATCAGTCGGTGGGTAGATAGATGATTGATTGATTAACTGACTGATAATTTGACAAAAGAGCCAACCAGAAACACAGCAAACTATTAACAGTGGTTAACCCTGGAAATAGGAGCAGATCTGGGGCTTCAGGAATGGAGAAGCGTTGCTTTTTCTTTTTCTATGTAATTGTATGTTCTGCGAATTTTTAAGAGAACACGTGTTCTGGCAATGTGTGTAACTGTGTTAAATGTAAGGAGGTGACTGAATGACGGGTACAGTACGATTGCATTTGGTGCGCACTGGGTCAGCATCTTGGGTATCTGCTGCCGGCAGGACACCTCACCTTTCTGACTGCCACCTGCCCCACTCTCTGTCTCCATTCCTATCATTTGTAACCAGGACCAGAGAGAAGTCTTGACCAGGGGAGGGGCAGAAAGAGGGGGGAAAATAGGAATGGAGGGACACACTCGCCTCTCTTCAGGTCCTCTGAACAGACCGGAAGCACCTGTCCCCCAGAAATAATCTAGGGAAACTGCTCAAGGGTCTGTATGAGCCTGTAGGCTTCATAAGCAGAGAGTGGGTGACAACATGTGGAGGTGGGAGGTCTCTTCTCCCCACCTGGACAGAACCCCCAAAACCCGACACCATCTGGCACCTCCACAATCAGCAGCTTTGAGTTTCCAGAGACAGCATCTTCACCAAGGAATTCATCAGCTTTTCACCACGAGGCGATAGTGGAGAAGGGACAGAAATGGAAGGGAAGACCAGGGACAGAGACAGCCCAGAAACAGGGCATGGGAGCAGGGGCAGGGGCCGGGGAGTTCTGAGCTCCCTTGAGAGGGTCCAGGAATTAACCAGGGGGACACTCTGAAGTGAGACTGAACTCTGCTTCTACACAGGACAATGACATTTGGGTTAAACACGTGCTAGTAAACGCAGCAGAAAACAGCCACCCCTCCGTTCACAGAGGCCCTTAGAGGTTTCTGCAAGAAATCCAAGTCGCATTCATTGTTTTAGGGTCTTGCCATAATTTTTTAAAACAGTACTTTGGGAGGCCGAGGCGGGTGGATCACGAGGTCAAGAGATCAAGACCATACTGGTCAACATGGTGAAACCCCGTCTCTATATAATTAAAATGAGCTGGGTGTGGTGGTGGGTGCCTGTAGTCCTAGCTACTTGGGAGGCTGAGGCAGGAGAATCACTTGAACCAGGGAGGTGGAGGTTGCAGTGAGCCAAGATAGGACTGCACCACTGCACTCCAGCCTGGGTGACAGAGCTAGACTCTGTTGTCCACCCCTCCGCCAAAAAAAAAAGACGGTGGCCAGGTACCAGGTGGCTCGCGCATGGAATCTCAGCACTTTGGGAGGCTGAGGTGGGATGATCACTTGAGCTCAGTAGTTTGAGACCACCCTGGGCAACATGGTGAAATCCTGTCTCTACCAAAAATATAAAAATTAGCTGGGCATGGTGACACACACCTGTAGTCCCAGCTACTCAGGAGGCTGAAGTGGGAGAATCGCTTGAGCCCAAGAGGCAGAGGTTTCAGTAAGCCAAGATCGTGCCACTGCACTCCACTCTAGCATGGGTGACAGAGTGAGATCCTATCAAAAAAAAAAAAAAAAGTTTAAAAATAAAATAAGGCTGGGTGCGGTGGCTCACACCTGTAATTCCAGCATTTTGGGAGGCCAAGGAGGGCAGATCATGAGGTCAGGAGATCTAGAGCAGCCTGGCCAATATGGTTCAACCCCGTCTGTACTAAAAATACAAAAATTAGCTGGGCGTGATGGCACCCGACTGTAGCTCCAGCTACTCAGGTGGCTGGGGCAGGAGAATCGCTTGAACCCGGGAGGCGGAGGTTGCAGTGAACCAAGACTACACCACTGCACTCTAGCCTGGCGACAGAGTGAGACTCCGTCTCAAAATAAAAAATAAAATAAATGTGCCTGGTCCCTTTAAAAAAAATCAAAGGTCTGCCGGCCCTGCCACCCGAACCCAGTGAGGGGCCTTGCAAGGGATCCCCCAGTCCTGAAGGGGTTGAGGAGAGTGGCCCAGGAGGCTAGACAGCCAGGCGGAGGTCCCGCAGCTGTGCTCTGGGCTGGTGCTCCTGCGAGGTCGCGGCTTTTGAGGTCCCACTCCTGGCTGTTTCTGAAGAGAGCTGTCCCGCCTCCTCCCCTCAGCTGTGCTGGCCCCTCCCTGCCTTCTCTGTGTCCCTGGGCCTATCAGAGAGTAGGTAGGGCTGAGGATTCGCCTCCACACAGGGTTCTGGGACCCTGGTCACTGTCTTTTTTTTTTTTTTTTCCGATGCTAATTTGTTCAACATAAACATTTAAAGTCTACTGTAATTTTAAAAAACCTTGGGCCGGGCGCGGTGGCTCACGCCTGTAATCCCAGCACTTTGGGAGGCCGAGGCGGGTGGATCACGAGGTCAAGAGATCGAGACCATCCTGGTCAACATGGTGAAACCCCGTCTCTACTAAAAATACAAAAACATTAGCTGGGCATGGTGGCGCGTGCCTGTAATCCCAGCTACTCAGGAGGTTGAGGCAGGAGAATTGCCTGAACCCGGGAGGCGGAGGTTGCGGTGAGCCGAGATCGCGCCATTGCACTCCAGCCTGGGTAACATGAGTGAAACTCCGTCTCAAAATAAATAAATAAATAAATAAAAAATCTTGTCTTAGCATTACTTTATTTTTTAGCATATGAGGAACCTCCAGAAGTAGAAAGGGGTGCTCTTGGGACCCTCCGTGAGACTCTGCGACCCTCGAGGAGAGTGACAGTGACCGGGGTCCCTGTCACATCTGGGGATGGCTCTACCCAGCCGTTTGGGTTAATGTACAGTGGACTTGACTGCCTATGGGCCTTGGGCGCGTTCCTGGACCCCTCTGCGCGTTTGCTCATCTGCAAAATGGGGATGAGGATACACCGGCCTCGTAGGGTTAAGGAGTGGATACGAGCGTTGCAACCGCCCCTGGTACGAGGTGAGGGCTACGTCAGTGTTTGCTGTGCTTTTTCAATCAAGGTCTGGCTTTCCAAGCGGGCTCTGGGCCCAGGAGGGCAGGGGCGGCTGTGACCGCCGGGTTCGCCCGGGGCCTGCACGTGCCGGGCGGCAGTGTTCAGGGACAGCACCTGCGGCCGGGGCCGGGCGATGGGCAGGCTCCACAGCCCCCACGCCCGCCGGAGAGACCGGGGCGGGCAGGGCCGAAGCCCGGGGAAGCGAGCGGCGCGTCGAGGCTCACCGGTCTCCACCTCCACCTCCTCCTCCTCCGGCACCACCTTGCGGTAGAACAGCAGCGCCGACGAGCCCTCCTCCTCGCTCGCCTGGTTGAGGAAGTGCAGGATGAGATCCTCGCCCTGGCCGTCGTCGCGGTTGAGCAGGTCCTCGAAGAGCTGGGGGTCGGTGATGCCGAAAGCCGCGTACACGCGGTCGCGCATCCACAGCACCCGCAGGTCGTCCATGGCGCCGCGCAGGGCAGAGGGAGCCGGGCGCAGGGCGGGCGTCCGTGGCAACGGCGGCCCTAGCAACGGACTTCCCAGCAACGGCCATCGCCCGCCCCGCTGACGGCGCCGGCGCGGGGGCCGCAAGAACGACAGTGACCGGCGCCCGGCACCTCGGTCCCGGCACCTGCGCGCCCGGGACCCGCCAGCACCCCAGCCCCGAGATCTCGGAGGCGCGCACCAGGCCCCCGGGCCGCCGAGGTGGGCCGGTCCCTGGTCCCCGCAGCTCGCACGCCCCTGGATTTGGAGAGGGACCCTCGCCGCCAGGAGCCGCTCTCGGGCCGCTGCAGCCGAGGGTGCGACCCCACCTCACCCGGACCGGATCTGCAAAGCAGCCCGCCCACCTTGCAGAAGTTGGGGCTGGTGGCAAGGTGAGCTCACAGCACCTCGGCGTGGCAGAGGCGGGGTTGGAGGCCAGGCAGGATACAGCCCCAGCCCTTAGCCCTCAGCCCTCAGTCCTCAGCCACGTGGGTCAAAGGCCAGGGGAGGAGAAATAAGCCAAGGCGGCACGAGTTCCTCGTTGCCTACGACATCAGGGAGGAAGGAGTGGAGTTCTTTGGCTTTCTCGCCAAGCCAGAGCATAATAAAACGAAACACCCACGTTTAAAAATATAGACATATTTATTTGTCATTAGCAAAAGGAAGTTCAATACTGATAGAAGATGCAAATTTGTCCTTTCATGCATCTGTGGAGCAAAATACTAACTTATTCACTGTCATTTCCCCTCACAAGGAGTTGAGCCCCTAGATGACTAGGCTAACCCTTGGATTTTCCCACCAAAGAACAGGTGGAATGTACTATTTCTTAAAATTCTAAACCAAAGATCAGCACGAATGGCCTGACTGTAGGAAGACTGTTAGTCCAAACGGCCTCATTTCCATCATCTTGATTTCAGAGTTCATCATAGCCTTCCTGAGATATCCCTATGGCATGCAGGCAAACCTGGCTTTACATTTTTAATAGAGGAATTTACTGTTTTTAAATGCAGACTGCAGAATTGTAAAAGTTGTTTTTTTGCTTTTCTTTTCTAAAATGCATCAGGCTCTAAAACACCTGAATATGTAATCCATGAACATTATTTTTGGGTTTTTTTTTTTTTTTTGGAGACAGTTTTGCTCTTGTTGCCCAGTCTGGAATGCAATGGCGCGATCTCAGCTCACCACAACCTACACCTTCTGGGTTCAAGCTGTTCTCTTGCCTCTGCCTCCCCAGTAGCTGGGATTACAGGTATGTGCCACCACGCCTGGCTAATTTTGTATTTTTAGTAGAGACAGGGTTTCTCCATGTTGGTCAGTCTGGTCTTGAACTCCTGACCTCAGGTGATCCACCCGCTTCGGCCTCCCAAAGTGCTGGGATTACAGGTGTGAGCCACCACGCCCAGCCTAATTCATGAACATTGTAAGGGTGACTGACCTATGCTACAGGTGTTCTATGCCTTATTAAACAACTGCAGAGGGCTGGGCATGGTGGCTCACACCTGTAATCCCAGCACTTTGGGAGGCTGAGACGAGCAGATCACCTGAGGTCAGGAGTTTGAGACCAGCCTGGCCAACATGGTGAAACCCCATTTCTACTAACAATACAAAAAATAGCTGGGCGTGATGGCAGGCGCCTAAACTCAAGAGGCTAAAGCAGGAGAACTGCTTAAGCCCTGGAGGCAGAGGTTGCAGTGAGCCGAGATCATACCACGCACTCCAGCCTGGGTGACAGAATGAGACTCTGTCTCAAAAAAATAAAAATAATTTTTTTAAATAAACAACTGCAGAGGAGATACTGACAGCAGATGTTGTTATAAAATACCCATTCCAGAAACAAGAACAGAGCAGCCTTCAGTGAAAGAGGAGTTCCAAGTCCTTTAGCTGCTGAAAAGTCCAGGGCTCACCCAGATCCAATCAGACAGAACACCCTTTGCACTCCTTAAGTGACCCCCGCAACTGCAGTCTCCACCCAGCAGGTTGAAATCAAATTCTATTTAGAAGAAATCCCTTGGGTATTTATTTTAGGATTCTGTTAACACATGGTAATAAACATCTCAATGAAAACTGAAAAATGTGGCTGTCGTGACATTTATCTTTAGGAAAATAAACATATTCAGCATCGTCCACACAACTTGCCATCTTTTCTCTGGATCTCTGCTATCAAAGAATGAAGTATGTTTTAAAAACTAGACACATAATAGGTTCTAGCAAAAGGCTGAAAAACAAGCAAAACTCAGCAACAGCTCTGGTAACATGACACTGGAGCCCATGGCTTTACAAAAAAAAAAAAAACAACAACAACAGGAATTGCCCTGGCACCTGTAACACACCACTAGCAAACTACATTTCCAGGAAGTGAGGATTCTGAATTCGTTTTTCACATAATGACATTCTACATAACTACTACATAGATTTCAACAGAGAAATGATTGCATCCTCTGGTCTATGGCCTACGAAGAGGTGTGAATTAGAAAGAGTTAAAAAGTGGCCCCGTGAGAATTACAGTAGGGAGCAGTAAACAACTCCGGCAAATGTCTCTTATTTACCAATCAGTTAACAGTGCCCTGAAGTCTTGGGCTTCCAGGGATGAAGTCGCTACTATTGTTTTTATGACAGATCCTTGGAGCAAGGTTAACAACACAAGTGACCCCTAGTGGAAGCGTGGATCTAGGTGAAAGCCACTCTGAGACCTGACCAGCACTTCTAGGATGTCACAGTCACCCAACACGAGTGCCCGACATGACACCTTTCTAGAGAAGTATCACTTTGAGAGCAGAATTATTTTCAAGTGTTTTGTCGGCATTATCTGATAATTTGAGGGACAAAAAGCAGTAAACCCAAGCTGCCTTGGGTGGCATCTCATGAAGCAGCACATAGAATCTGTACTGTAATCGAAAGGGTTTAATTTGAAGAGTCACAGTTATGTCAACGCTGTTCTGCTCATGCCTTGACATCACCTGCACAGCTACATTCCACTCAGCACTCCAGGATCCCAGCTTGTAACATAAGTTGCAAGCTCTCCACCTTGAAACAGGGTAAAGGAGGATAGGGGCAGATAGCCTTTTAATGCGTACCACTCACAATGTTAAAAAGGTGAAAAAAAGATTTCTTTCTGAAAATAATTGTCTAAAATCAAACTAAAATATAAAAAATTAACATAATTTGCAAGAATATAGATCAGAATGTTCAATAGGACTGACTCAAGTTCACAAAAAACTAAATGTCAAGTGAATAGATGAATTTAAACGAAAGATTATAAAATAGTGGCTATCAAGAATTAGTTTTCAACTGATCTAAACAGTTTGGAAGTTTAAATTAACTCTAAATACTTTTATCAGACCTTTAACTAGAAATAGTCTGAAAGTAAAAAAACTATCATTAGACTGTTCTCAAGGATAAGTGTAATCTCTTCATGGTAAAATATCATCATTTATATTTTGTTATAAAAATATACAAAATACTACTTTTAACCTTTCCTTCACTCAGTATAAAGCCTTTTGGTTCAGTGAAATCAGCCAAGCTGTCACTAAATTCAAATCATGTCCACATTATACTTTCTGAGTCACACTGGGTTTTAAGGCTCAGTATACAATTTACCTTTCCAAACATACAATTATCATAACTGGTTTGATGTAAGGATAACGGGATAAGAGTCTTTAAAAAAATATACAAGTGGGATAACCATTTGTTGTATGTTATTTTATCCCATTGTCCCCAGTTACTAAAACAAGACAGTACTGTAAAAACAATCCTCTACTTATAATTCTAGGTAGCACAGGATAAAAAATGTTTGCATATTTTTGGCCGGGCGCAGTGGCTCACGCCTGTAATCCCAGCACTTTGGGAGGCCAAGGCGGGTAGACCACTTGAGGTCGGGAATTTGAGGCCAGCCTTGCCAACACGGTGAAACCCCATCTCTATAAAAAAACAAATAAATTAGCTGGTCATGGTAGTGGGCGCCTGTAATCCCAGCTACTCGCAAGGCTGAGGCAGGAGAATCGCTTGAACCCAGGAGGCAGAGGATGCAGTGAGCTGAGATTGTGCCACTGCACTCCAGCCTGGGCAACAGAGCAAGACTTCATCTCAAAAAAAACAAAAGTTTGCATATTTTTTAATCAAGCAGAATACATGTGAATGTTTTGATTACCCATCATTAAATTTTTTTAAAAACTATCCATATTTCAGCTGTTGGAAAATATCATCTGACAATCTCAGGTGACAGATTAACTCTTTTTTTTAAAAAATAAAGTTTTAAGGAATCAAGTGTCTAATACCATTTTCAATTAGCCATTCAAAATTGGTTTCTCTCTCCCAATCTTATATTTGAAAAAATACCTTTAACATAACATTTGGCATTAACTTATATTTGCTCATCATAAAAAAACAAAAGAAATTTTTATATCTCAAATTGATAAACTTTAGAAAATATTTAACATATGAGGAAGAGGTATATCTTACAGAATTATTTGGCTATATCATAAGGCAGTCAATGAAGATGGAATTTTTCCTATCATAAATCTGACATAAGTGAAATTCTATAACATGATAATTCTCCACACATGGGAAGGCTTGTTGGTTACAGCAAGATGATCATGCCACGCTGTCGTCGTCACTGAACCTCGATGAAAGTAGACTGAACGAGAAAGGAACGAATTTGGTGCCTGCACCAACGTAGAATTTGTTCTGAAATTCTACCCTAAAAAAAAAAAAGCCATGTATTAATGGGAGATGATGAAATCATATTCCTTAAAACAACATTTATAAGTTTAAAAAATAAATTCCTGTGCTGAAATTGCTTCATTCCAAAACATGTTCTTGGCACAAATATTTTTACTTAGCTAAACACCGCTCGCCACCCCTAACCCTGTGCTAGCTTTCCTAGTGTGAAGAGCAACTCTGATGCATCCGCTGCCTCTCATTGCCCAACACACAAAAGCACATGCACAAGAAACGAGAACCTCTCCTGCCAGGGGTCACTGGAGGCACAGAGCAGTAATCCGACCTATACCTTAAAAGATTAAGAAATACGTAAGCATTTATTTTGCAATAAGATAGAGCAACCTGTGAGATCCAAAGTGAATTCAGAGTATGAAACATATATCAGTATTCTGTAAACTTAAATTTGCTTTTACTTCTCAGTGATAATAGTTCAGAAACAAAATACAGGTTTTTTTCGTTTCTCTTTTTGAGACAGAGTTTCAGTCTTGCCGCCCAGGCTATGGTACAATGGCATGATATCGGCTCACTGCAACCTCTGCCACCCGGTTCAAGTGATTCTCCTGCCTCAGCCTCCCAAGTGGCTGGGATTATGGGTGCATGCCACCACGCTCAGCTAATTTTTGTATTATTAGTAGAGACACGGTTTCATCATGTTCTCCAGGCTGGTCTCGAACTCCTGACCTCAGGTAATCCACCTGCCTCGGCCTCCCAAAGTGTTGTCATTACAGGCATGAGCCACCGCGCCCAGCCCAAAATACAATTTTAACTCAGAAGATATGAGCACAGATCCCAATGGTAGGAAGGGAAGAACTAGCCTAAATTCAGCATTAGATTTTGCAGGGGCTGTGTATATTTGGTTGGGCAGGGTAGGGGGGGTGCCAGTATGATTTTTAAGTAACAGTTCCAAGGCTAAGCTTCAGGTCAAACTTACCAGTGGAGGCGTATGGCGTGAAGAAACGCAGAAAGCCCTTCCATGATCAGAAGGATGAAAATGGTTAAAACCGCAAAAAGCGCGATAACCGGGAGCAGCAGCAAGACGCCGTAGGTGGTGTCGACGCGGAGGCCCACACGCATCAGCATGGCCCACAGGACATCGGACAACTCTGCAAAGGAGGGCAGCCTGCACAGTCACACCCGCTTACGTTCCGTGGGTCACTCTGTGAGCTTCCTGGACTGAGTTTCCCTCTGGCAGCTCTGGACCATTATCCCATAAAACAACAGACACACATGTAACACAGACGCAACTGCTTCTTGTGTGAAAGGCAGCCAGCTCCACGACCGTCTCAAACACTAAGGAAGACCTGGTGCTCCAAAACCAGCAGAGGTCATCTCCCAAAGGAGGTCTTGCCCCAGACTAGGTTTGGGTTAGTGACCTCCCAAAGCGGCACCAGACCAGGCAGCCAGAAACAGGCTCCCAGGCCTGGTTCTGCCACCGAGGGACCAACTGGATAAAGCCTGGACTCT